TGAGGGAAAATTATGGAGAAATGACGAAAAACAAGAATAATTGGGAGGATTGTACGAAAACGAATGAATCAAAAGAAAACCGTATGCAATTGCGATGTGATTGATTAAACTGACAAAAAATATAGATGAACCAAAAGTAACTAATGAAAAATTGTAGGAAAAATTTGAAAAAATTGTTTTACGTGTGTCATTTTGGTGGGTGCTAAAAACATGAGAGAAGAAACCGATAAAACAAAAAGTAATTTTTGAGAGATTGCATAAAAATCAGAGAAAAGAGAAAGAATTGGTTTAATTATATTGTAGCTGAGGGAAATTATGGAGAAATGACGAAAAACAAGAATAATTGTGAGGGATTGTATGAAAACGAATGAACCAAAGAAAACCGTATGCAATTGCGATGTGATTGATTAAACTGACAAAAAATATAGATGAACCAAAAGTAACTGATGAAAAATTGTAGGAAAAATTGAAGAAATTGTTGTGCGTGTGTCATTTTGGTGGGTGCTAAAAACATGAGAGAAGAAAGCGATAAAACAAAAGTAATTTCTGAGAGATTGCATAAAAATCAGAGAAAAGAGGAAGAATTGTTGTAATTGAATTTGTAGCTGAAGCAAATTATGGAGAAATGACGAAAAACAGGAATAATGGGGAGGGATTGTACCGAAACGAATGAACCAAAGAAAACCGTATGCAATTGCGATGTGATTGATTAAACTGACAAAAAAATAGAGATGAACGAAAAGTAACTGATGAAAAATTGTAGGAAAAAATGACAAAATTGTTGTACGTGTGTCATTTTGGTGGGTGCTAAAAACATGAGAGAAGAAACCGTAAAGTAATTTCTGAGAGATTGCATAAAAATCAGAGAAAAAAGGAAGAATTGGTGTAATTGATTTTGTAGCTTTGATAAAACTGACAAAAAATATAGATATACTATGTGTCACTTGTGAACGATTGTGGCAAAATTTGAAAAAGTATTCATACTGTTATCATTTCTGTGTATGCTGAGAGAAATGAGTGGTGAAAATGGATAAAACAAGAGTAATTCGTATGAGATTGCATTAAAATACAGTGAAAAGAGGAAGTATAGTTGTCATTGATGTTTGAGCTGAGAAATATTATGGAGAAATGACGTCATTGTCCGAAAAAAATGAAATAAAGTAAAACGGGTGCAATCGAGATATGATTGATAAAACTGAAGAAAAAATGAATATGAACCAAGAGTAACTGATGAAAGATTGTAGTCAAATTGAAAAAGTAATTACACGTGTCTCATTTCGGTGGGTGCTCAGAAAAATGAGAGAAGAAACCGGATAAAACAAGAGTAATTGGTGTGAGGTTGCATAAAAATCAGAGAAAAGAGGAAGAATTGGTCTAATTGAAGTTAGAGCTGAGGCAAATTATGGAGAAATGACGTAAAACATAGATAATAATGAGGGATTGTACGAAAATGAATGAAACAAAGAAAAATGGGTGCAATCGCGATAGGATTGATAAAACTGAAGAAAAAATGAAGATGAACCAAGAGTAACTGATGAAAGATTGAAGGAAAATTTGAAAAAGTAGTTACACGTGTCTTATTTCGGTGGGTGCTAAGAAAAATGAGAGAAGAATCCCGATAAAACAAGAGTAATTGGTGAGAGATTGCATAAATATCTGTGAAAATTGGAAGAATTGGTGTAATTGAGGTTGGATTTGAGAAAAAGTTTGGAGAAATGACGTAAAACATAGATAATAAAGAGGGATTGTACGAAAACGAATGAAACAAAGTAAAACGGGTGCAATCGCGATAGGATTGATAAAACTGAATAAAAAATGATGATGAACCAAGAGTTACTGGTGAAAGATTGTAGGGCAAATTGAAAAACTAGTAATACGGCTGTCACTTTGGTGGGTTCTATGAAAATGTGTGAAGAAAGCGGGTAAAAGAAGTTTAATTCGTTAGAGTTTCATAAAAAACAGAGAAATGAGAAAGAATAGGTGTAATTGGTGTTGGAGCTGTGGTAAATTACGGATAAATCACCATAAACGTGGAAAATTGTTACGGCTTGTACGAAAACGAATGAGTTGAGTATAAACCTGTGCATTTGCGATGGGATTGATAAAACTGACAAAAAATGGATGATGAGCCACGAGTAACTGTTGAAAGATTCTTTGAGAATCTGAAAAACTAGCATTACGTGTATCTTTTCCCTGGTTGCTAAGGAAAATGACAGAAGAACCCCGATAAAACATGAGTAATTGTTGAGAGATTGCATCAAAATCAGAGACAAGTGGAAGAATATATGTAATTGAGGTTGGAGCTGTGGAAAATTATGGAGAAATGACGTAAATCGTCGATAATAGGGAGGGATTGTACGAAAACGAATGAAACGAGGTGAAACTGGTGCAATTTCGATGGGATTTATAAAACTGACAGAAAAATGACGCTGACCCAAGTGTACCTGATGAAAGATTGTTGGATAAATTGAAAAACTAGTAATACCGGTGACATATCTGTGGGTGCTAAGAAAAATGAGAGTTGAATGCTGATAAATCAATAGTAATTGGTGAGAGATTGAATAAAAAACAGAGAAAAGTGGAAGAAAAATTGTAATTGGAGCTGAGCAAAATAATGGAGAAATCACGTTTAAACATGGATAATTGGGAGGGAATTTACGAAAACGAATGAAACGAGGTAAAACTGTTGCAATTGCGATGGGATTGATAAAACTGACAAAACAATGGAGATGAATCAAGAGTAACTGATGAAAGATTGTAGGAAAAATTGTAAAACTAGTTATACGTGTGTCATTTCGGTGGGTGCTAAAAAAAATGACAGGAGAATGCGGATATAACAAGAGTAATTGGTGAGTGATTGTATAAAAAACAGAGAAAAGAGGAAGAATAGGTGTAATTGAGGTTGGAGCCTAGGAATGTCGTTAAATCATGGGTATTTTTGTTGGATTGTAAGAAAATGAATGAAACCTGGAGAAACGTTTTCAATTTCGATGGGTTTGATAAAACGTACAGAACAATGAGAATGAACCAAGAGTTATTTTTGAAATTTTGTAGAAAATTTGAAAAACTAGTAATATGTGTGTCTTTTTGGTGGGATCTAAGCAAAATAACAGAAGAAAACTGATAAAACGAGCGTAAATGATGAGAGATTTCATAAAAAACAGAGAAAAGTGGAAGAATAAGTGTAATTGTGGTTGGAGCTGCTGAAAGTAATGGAGAAATGAGATTAAAACATGGGGAATTGTGTGAGATTGTTAGAAAACGAATTAAACGAGGAAAAACGGGTGCAATTTCGATGGGATTGATAAAACTGACAGAAAATTGAAGTTGAACCAAGTGTAATTGATGAAAGATTGTAGGAAAATTTGAAAAACTAGTAATACGGGTGTTATTTCTTTGGGAGCTAATCTAAATGACAGATGAAAGCGGATGAAACAAGATTAATTGGTGAGAGATTGTATAGAAGACAGAGAAAAGTGGAAGAATATGTTTAATTGACGTTGGAGCTGAGGAAAATAATGGAGGTATGTGGTTCAAACTTTGATAATTGTTTGGGATTGTAAGAAAATGTATTAAACGAGGAAACACGGGTGCAATTTTGATGTGATTGAAAAAACTGTCAGAAAAATAAGGATGAGCCAAGATTAATTGATGAAAGATTGTAGGAAAAAGAGACAAACGAGATATATGGATGTAATTGCGGTGTTAACTCAGCAAATGTCAGAAGAACGTGGATAAAATAATTTGTGGGGGATTGTAGACTAAACATTGAAAAGAGAAACAATGTGTCTTTTTGAGGTTGGGGGTGTGGAAAATGATGGAGAAATGAGGTTAAAGCTTTTGTAATTGTGACGGATTTTAAGAAAACCAATTAAACGTGGAGAAACGGTTGCAATTGAAAAATCTGACAGAAAAATGCGGATGGACCAAGAGTTATTGATGAAAGCTTGTAGGAAAATGAGAAAAACTAGGAATACGGGTGTCATTTCGTGGGGATCTAAGCAAAATGCCAGAATAAAGCGGATAAAACAAGAGTAATATCTGAGAGATTGTATAAAAAACAGAGAAAAGAGGTAGAATGGTGTAATTGAGGGTGTGCTGAGGAAAATAATGGAGAAATGAAGTTAAAACATGGGTAATTGTTAGGGATTGTAAGAAAACGAATTAAACGAGTAAAAACGTGTCCAATTGCGTTGGGTTTGAAAAACTGACAGAAAAATGAAGATGAACCAAGAGTAATTGATGGAAGATTGTAGGAAACAGAGAAAAATTAAGAATATGGGATTTAATTGCGGTGGGAGCTTAGCAAAATTACAGAAAAATTAACCGAGTGTTATTCCGGTGCGAATGTACGAATATAGACAATCGAACAAGAACTGGTGCAATTTCGATGGGATAGAAGAGAAATGACAGAAATGAGGATTAAGACAGAGTAATTGGGGAGGAATTTTAGGCAAAATTGAGATTCGAGGAAGAATGGTTTTAATTGCGCAGAAAATTGAGGAAAATGATAAAAAAAATTAGGTGATATCAAACGTAATTGGTTAGGTATTGTATGGAAACGAATTAAGTGGGGAAGAACATGTTCAATTGTAAGTGGATCGAACAAAATTGAGAGAAAAACTGTTACGCACCGAGTGCAATTGGTTAGGAATTGTAGGGAAAGGTGATAAACACGGAATGACATGAGTAATTGCGTTACGGGCAAATAACAGAAAAATCAGGATGTACCAAGGTTAATTGGGATTGAAGCAATATGAGTTAAACGTGTGAGAACGGATGTAATTGCGGGGTTTCTAAGGATTATCACGGTAATATAGTGTTAAAAAGAGAAAAACGTGTAAGAACGAGTTCTATTGCGGTGGCAGCCAGGGAAAAATGACAGAAAAAAGGAGGATAAACCAAGAGTAATTGCTGGGGGATTTTAGGAAAGGGAGATAAACGAGGAAATACAGGTGTCATATCGGTGGAAGCGAACGAAAATTACAGAAAAATGATGATTAACCAAGAGTGATTTGTGATGCATTGTAGAAAAACGAACTCAACGGGGAAGACCGGGTGTGATTGCGGTGGGACGTAAGGAAAATGACAGAAAAATGAGGTTGAACGAAGGGTAATTGGTGAAGGATTTTAAGAAAACAAATTGAACGAGGAAGGATGGGTGTAGTTGCGGTGGATGTAAAGAATATGACAGAAAAATGAGGACGAAACAAGTGTAATTGGTGAAGGATTGTAGAAAAACGAGTTAATCGATGAAGAACAGGTACAATTGCGGTGGAAGCGAAGGAAAATGACGGAAAATGAGTATGATCCAAGAGTGAGTGTTGAGGGATTACAGGAAAATGTACAAAATGATGAAGAACGGGTGTAATTGCGGTGGGAGCTAAAGAAAATAACAGAAAATGAGTATGAAACAGAAAATTGCGGATGAACCAAGAGTAATTGGTGCGGGAGTGTAGGAAACAAATAAAGGAGGGAGATCGGGTGTAATTGCGTTGGGAACTAAGGAAAATGACAGAAAAATGGCGATGAAGCAATAGCTATTGGTGAGGGTTTGTAGAAAAACGAGGAAAACGGGTGTAATTGCAGTTGGAGCTAAGGAAAAATGAGAGAAAAATAACGATGAACCAATGAATAATTGGTGAGGGATCTTCAGAAAGAGAGATAAACGTGGAAGGACGGATGTAATTGCTGTGGAAGCGATGAAAAATGACGGAAAGATGATGATGAACCCAGAGTAATTGGTGGGGGATTGTAGGAAAGTGAGATAAATGGGAGCGAACGGGTGTAATTGCCGTGGCAGCGTAGGAAAAAGACAGAAATACGACAATGAACTTTGTGTGAGGGATTGTGCGAAAGACAGATAAAAAAGGAAGAACGGGTGCAGTTGGGGACTTAGCGAATAAATGTGATAGAAAATTAGGAAAAATCAATATTATTTTGGGAGGGAACAAATCAACAAGAGTGAAATATGTAAAAACCAAGTGGGCTAATGAATGAGTGATAAAATGAAGAAGAGTCAAATGTTATTGGGGAGTTGATCGAAGATTAGTGAGAAAAAATGGATGAAATCCCAAGAGTAATTGTGGAAACATCGAATGAAATAAGAATAAATTGGACGAAACACAAATATGTAACTTACACTTACTGACGCCATTTTTCTTTCTCTCTCGTACTTTTCGACACTCCTGTACGGACCATTTACAATATCGGCTATAAATCAATATCACTCTTAGCACATTTTATAGTAGTTTACTTTTTGCTAATCTAAATTGCAAGGGTTTTCTTATTTTTAGCTGTATATTTCCCTATCATAACGTATATTCTCAGATTTTATTTATTACCTATCTACCACACTGAAGCTTTGTTGCCACAAATATGAATACTTTTTCGACCAAAAATCAGTAGACCCCTATAAAAAAAATTATTTGTTGCTCTGTATTAAGCATCTTCTTTTTTTTTGTAGAAGGGCGTGTAACGATGTAACAAGATATTTTTATCGCCTCAGCTTAAAACGTTAACCAGCAGGTTAACAAATGGCTGATGCTGCTCATTCCTGCAATTTCTAAAGACAAGAAAATATATTTTTCAAAACGAAGGATGGCAATAAAATTAAAACTGTTGAAAATATCTGTCACTTGGTATTTAGGAATAACGAATGGAATATATGTTGAAATGGATTGGAAACAAAAAACGAATCAGTGAATTATTTTCTTCTCTCTCTATTATATACCGCACCTGTAAACCCTAATGGGTATGTCCCAGTTCTCATAAATACGTTGGACACTATTGTAATCGGGGTTAATATGCTGTCTAAGTAGTCCATCACTAGCAGTGGTTTACCTATTTCACGCCGCTGGCAAGTATTGTATTTTGTTGATGTCATAAAGATTGCCATTTCATTTCCAACCTCCGTTTTGGTTATCCCTCATTCAGTAACCTTTTTTTAGGTTAAAATAGATAGATAGATAGATAGATAGATAGATAGATAGATAGATACCGTACCTATGAACACTAATTAGTATGTCCCAATCCTCATAAATACGTTGGACACTATTGTAAATGGGGGTAATCTGTTATCCACGCTGTCAGCGTGGGAAGCTCTTGCCGTGTCAAACTCTCTGCCTTCTGACGGAGAGGACCCCTGACGAAGCTATGCCGAAGGACAGAGTTTCGTCCTGACAGATACCCGATCCCCTGTAATCGGGGTCTACCGTCAATTTTTGCCAGAGCCCACGGGCTCGGATTTCCTCACATTAAATTTGGCCTTGTGCCATATTCTACCTCGTGTACTGGTAAATAAATATCGTAATATGCTGTCTAAGTAGTGCACTACTAGCAGTGGTTTACCTACTTCACGCCGCTGGCGAGTGTTGTATTTTGTTGATGTTATAAAGATTAGCATTTCATTTCCAACCTCCATTTTGCTTATTCCCCATTCAGTTACCCTTTTTCTAATTTACAACACCCTCATTGCTATCCTATAATTACAAATGTGGTTGTTAACTTGGGCAAGAAAAGGCTTGCTAATTTTAATGGCTTAAAAATAAAACTGTCCTCTTTTTTAACTTCCATCTGCATGGCAGATGCTAACCCCCAGGAGAGTGACTCATTGCGCTTTCTCGGACTAACGTTTTCCGCTAACCTGAAGTGGAAAGTTTATATTGAATCAACTCCTAGGTCTACAGATCGGAAACTTGGTTCACTGTGTCGGCTATTCTTGATAAAATAGAAAGAAGAATCTGCAATGTTATTGGTCCTGACATAGCATCTCCGCTTCAGTCACTCTCCCACCATCATAATGAAACTTCCCAGTTCCTTTTCTATAAATACTTTCATGGTAATTGTTCTGATGAGCTTTCCTCTTTGGTACCTAAACTTTATGAATTTAAGTGCAGTACTAGATTGGCGGCAAGGTCTCATCATTTTACAGTTGAAATGGCTGCTAAATGTAACCGTAAGTTCTATTCTAATAGTTTCTTCTCTCGCACTTCTTACTTGTAAAACTCTCTTTCAACTTCTTGATTTCCAATCAATTTTGATTTTCAAAAATTCAAAGACAATATTAATTGTTATCGTGTCTTTTTAATTTCGGTTCTTTTATTGACCTTTTTCCTTAATAGTAGTTTTTTCTCAATTTCCCTTACACTCAGTAACCCTCCTGTGTCCTAGTCTTTTTAGTTACTGTTCTTTTATTGTTTACTATCATAAAGATGCTTTCTTTCGCACATTCAGTAACACCTTGCATCTTAGTGGCTTTATTGCCTTGCTTGGGGTGAACTGATTAAAACAATTTGCATAATATAATTTGAGACTGAATGTGAGAGCAACATAAATGTGATCCATGCAAAATTCAAAGCAAATAGGCAACGAGACGGATGGTAAAATAGTCGGTTTGAAGAACACCCAAAACGTATACGGTAATGGAGAAGCCCAGGATGAGAAACAAACAACCAGGTTGGCTATCAACAAGAGATTCGGAAATGCAGTTTTACACTGCAAAACATATCCAAGTGCCGACTCTGGAAACGTTCACCTCTCAGGGATATGAAAACTTGGAGTGAAACTATGGAAATTGAAGAGGGCTAAGGCAGCACCAAAATTGCCATATCACAGACTCTTGAACGACCCGAATCTAAAGGAGAAGTATGTGAACAGTGTGAAAATTTGGTTTGTTGGTTGTTTTATGGCATATCAACCTCAGTGGGCCAGTTAATGCCAACAATTTTTTTAAATACATTCATAGCGATAGTTTGGTAAAAAAAAAATGTGTATGCATACATATATATTTGAACCATTTTTCAATTACTCATATTTTTTTAGTACAATCCAACTTCTTTTGGATGGTTTTATTTTCGTAAAAACTTTTTTTTTTAAATACTCACTTGGTAATATTTTGTTCGCACTAAATCAAAATCTACAAACTCTAACAGCATATGTTTCACTGTAAATTTCTCTTGGCATGTAGTGCATATTGGGGATTCTGTGCCCTTTAGTATTAAGTATGGCTGATAATAATTTTTTCTTCAACAATTATTGTTGGTAATAATTTTTTTATTACAAAGTATTTCTCATATTAAAACCTATTTTTACACAAGATTGGGAGTTAACTATTTGCCCATAGCTGGGACCCTAACAGTTGATACCACCCCGGGTCAGAGTGGACCTGGGAACATCAGCAATTAAGAGGTGATTCCACGCTCCTCTAAACTTCCTGATCAGAGGCCTTGCTGTAGTTTATCGTCTTACCCAGGACGGCAGTGTGAAAAGCAGATACTAGAAACAGAAGGAAGATGAACACTCGAAGTGGGAAGCTTTAGTAACATCATCAATCGAGATCATCCCAGAGAAAATTAGACGAAGAAAAATATTAATGGATGATAGACGGAATTCTCGACAAAAGGTGACAAAAACCATGCCAAACACAGATCAGAATATAGGACACAACTCAAAGAAATAAGGAGCAAATGCAGGCAGGCTAAAGAGGAATGGCTCAACGAGAAATGTGCAGAAATAGAAAGAATGAGTAACACAGATAAAGGAGATATGCATAAAAAATAAGGGACAATAATAGGACAAACGACATGCTCATCAACAGGACGCATGAAATCCAAAGACGGAACGGTGATTGTAGAGAAAGAAAAAATACTTAAAAGATGGAACGAGTGTGCCGGAGAACTCTTCTACGGCGAAAGAGAACAACTGGCAGTCGACAGAAATATCGAAGGACCGGAAAAAATAAAATCTGAAGTGGAATCCGCACTGGCCAAATTGAACAGAAATAAAGTAGCAGGGTCAGACGGAATTGTAATAGAGATGCCTTAGACGAATTCGGTATAGACAAGATCACAGAAATAATAAACGAAGTCGACAACAGTGCGTATATACCAGAAGATCTAAGTAGATCTATTTTTATAGCACTGCCTAAGAAGCCAGGAACAAGAGAATATAAACCCCATCGGACAATCAACCTCATGAGCTATATAACGAAATTTATCATTTGAATTCTGAAAAATGGAGCGCGCAACAGATTAAGACCAGAAATAGGATAGAAACAGTGCGGGTTCATCAAAGACAATGGAACAAGGAAGGCGATATTTATGCTCAGAATGTTACCAGAAAGAGCAATACAAATGCGGAAGGACATGTACCTGTGCTTTATAGACTATGCGATAAGATACGCCACAAATATGATCTATTAAAACTGTTCAGCTACCTTGATATATGTGGGAAGAATATCAGAATAATCAATGACCTATGCTGACAGCAACACGCCTGCATACGAATAGAAAATGAGTTCAGCAGATATACAAAAATAGAAAAGGGTGTAAGACAAAGATATGTCTTTTCACCAGACTTAGTCAACCGATACAGTGAGGCGATTCTGAGAGAACTAGAAGTCCTACCAACATTCGTTATTGGTGGCCACAATCTTACTTACATAAGATATGCAAATAACACAGTGTTAATATCAGACACAGAAAGAAAACTACAATGGAAAAGTTCGTCAGCTAAGCGCCTTACCTTGTTCCTCTTGTCTTACCTTTTTCCTTTTGCCTTACCTTGTTCCTCTTGCTCTTGATATGCCTTTTGAGTGTCAAAATCTCCAAGCTCTCCTTTTTTATTATGTACCCAAGAAATTTCAGCTGCCTCTTTCTAATTCTAAGTGTTCATTTCTTAACATTTTCCTTAAAACTTATTTTCGCAGCGATACAAAATTTTATTAGCAAGACAATAGCAGAAATGCATTATTAATTTAATAGCGGTACAAAATTTTATTAACGGGACAATAGCAGAAATGTATTATTAATTTAATAGTGGTACAAAATTTTATTAGAAAGACAATAGCAGAAATGTATTATTAATTTGATAGTGGTATAAAACTTTATTAGGAAGACAATAGCAGCAATGTATTATTAAATTGAATAGCGGTACAAAATTTTATTAGCGAGACAATAGTAGAAATATATTATTAATTTAGTAGTGGTACAAAATTTTATTAGCGGGACAATAGCAGAAACGTATTATTAATTTAATAGCGGTACAAAATTTTATTAGCGGGACAATAATAGCGATGCAAAATTTTTTTGAGCAATCAAAGCAGGCATATTAAAACGTCATTCTTAACATAAAAGGAAACAATTCATAATAAAAAAAAGAGAGGTAACAAAACATATATTACCGTAAAACTGGCTGGTTAC